AAATAAAATGCTGCTGGCTCCTCTTTTAAAATTCGGATGACCCTGACAGTGGGCACAAACTTCCCATTGTCTACTCAAAAACACCAGATTTTCCTTTATTATTATTTTTTTCTTTTTCTCCATTCTTGCTTTCAAAATATTTACAACTTTTGAAATTCCTTTCCACAAATCACTGAGTTTGACCGATTATTCCTTCGGGAGGAAATGCTTTATCCTATGCCCGTTAACTTTAAAAGTGGTGTTGTCCTGAGGGTTTAAAATATCTACAGTTCTGAATTTTCCCACATTTACTATGGTGAATGGTCCAGACCATCTCGACTTAAGTTTTCGGGGAAAAAGCTTTAGTCGAGAATTAAAGAGAAGAACTTTTTGACCATTTTCGAAAATTCGACGATTTATCCTACGATTATGCCAAAATTTTGTTTTCCTTGTAGAGTTTGGCAGTCTCATAGGCATGAAATCTCCATTCTTCCAACTGATTAAGTTGGAATTTTTTGTTTGCTCCCGCTGAATTTGCATCCAAATTAAATTCTTTTATTGCCCAAAAAGCCTTATATTCCAATTCGAGAGGGAGGTGACATGTTTTTCCAAAAACTATATGGTACGGCGACATTCCCAAAGGGGTCTTGAATGCGGTTCGGTATGCCCATAATGCATCATCCAACTTGAATGACCAATCCTTACGATCCGGTCTTACAACTTTTTCTAAAATATTTTTAATTTCTCGATTTGAAAGTTCGGCAACACCATTCGTTTGGGGATGGTATGTTGTAGCTACTCGGTGTTGGATGTTGTATTTAGTGAGAACGATAGATAGCTTTCGATTCATAAAATGTGTCCCTTCATCACTTATCAAAGCTCGGGGAGTTCCAAAACGGACAAAAATATTTTTATGTAAAAAATCGATTACCGTCTTCGCATCGTTCTTCGGGAATTCCTTAGCTTCCACCCACTTCGAAACATAATCAACCGCTACCAAAATATACTGATTATTGAAAGACATAGGAAACAGTCCCATGAAATCTATGCCCCAAACATTGAAAAGTTCGACTTCAAAAATGTTATTTAAAGGCATCTCATTTCGTTAGGACAAGTTTCCCATTCTTTGGCACTGCTCACATCTCTAGACAAAATTAAATGCATCTTTAAACAATGTAGGCCAAAAAAATCCACTTTGTAAGATTTTTGCCACCGTACGTTGTCCACCAAAGTGGCCACCATACCGTGAAGCATGACATTCCTTCAACAAAGATGGGATTTCAAAATTCAGGACACATTTTCACAAGACCTGATCAGCTCCTATTTTGTAAAGAGATGGATTGTCCCATAAGTAGTGCTTACAGTCATGAAGAAATTTCTTAACACGTTGACCGTGAAGATGATGTGGCTTAAGCCCACAAGCAAGGTAGTTGGCAATGTCGACATACCATGGAAGTTCATAATGATTTTCTTGTATTGCCAAAATGTACTCGTCGGGAAAAGTTTCTCTTATCACATGGTTTCCCCCGCTTGACACTTTGCCTTCGATCCTTGATAAATGATCGGCCACTTGATTGTCACATCCCTTGCGATCAACTATCTCTAGATCGAATTCTTGCAAAAGAAGAACCCATCTAATAAGCCTTGGCTTAGCGTCGGTCTTATTAAAGAGATATTTGATGGCATAATGGTCCGTGTGAACGGTAACTTTGGTGTCAATCAAGTAGGATTGAAAACGATCAAATGCAAATACTACCACAAGTAATTCTTTTTCTATGGTGGTATAATTTAACCGAGCCTCCACCAAAGTTTTACTTGCGTAGTAGATGGGGTAAAAAATATTGTTTTGCTTTTGTCCCAAAACGGCACCTACGGCCCAGCCACTTGCATCACACATAACCTCAAAAGGCTTGGTCCAATCTAGGGCAATGACAATAGGTGCCGAGACAAGAGCTTTTTTAATGGTTTCAAAAGCTTTTTTAGAATCGGAGGTAAATTCAAAAGTTTGATCGACAGGCAACAAATTACACAAGGATTTTGCAATTTTAGAAAAACCCTTAATAAATCTACGGTAAAAACCCGCATGTCCAAAAAAACTTCGAATGCATTTGACCGAAGATGGTTCAGGCAATTGCAATATTACCTCGATTTTTGCTTTATCAACCTCCAAACCGTTCTTAGAAATCATGTGACCCAAAATGATTCCTTCTTGTACCATAAAATGACATTTCTTCCAATTTAAAATTAAATCATGAGTTTCACATCTTTCCGAACTTTTCTTTAAATTGTCAAGACATTTTTTAAAAGATGTACCGATGATGGAAAAGTCATCCATAAACACTACCATAGTATCCTCAGTCATGTCTGAAAAAATTGACATCATGCACCGTTGAAAGGTCGTCGGTGCGTTACAAAGATCAAATGGCATACGCCTAAAAGAAAAAGTTCCGAAAGGACAAGTGAAAGTTGTTTTCTCTTGGTCCTCGGGTGCTATGTGAATTTGGTTGTAACCCGAGTAACCGTCCAAAAAGCAATAATATTCTTTTCCTGCCAATCTATATAGCATTTGGTCAATAAAGGGCAAAGGGAAATGGTCCTTTTTGGTTGCTAGATTCAATTGCCTATAGTCCATGCAAATCCGCCATCCGGTGATAGTCCTAGTAGGGATGAGCTCATTTTTTTCATTGGTGACAACCGTGGTTCCACCTTTCTTCGGTACACATTGCACCGGACTTACCCATCCGCTACTAGAAATGGGATACATAATACCCGTGTCTAACCACTTCAAGATTTCTTTCTTCACAACTTCTTTCATAATGGGATTTAGTCTCCTTTGCGGTTGCACCTTGCCAACTCTATTTTCTTCCAAGATAATCTTATGTTGGCAAAAGGAGGGACTAATTCCTCTAATATCTGTGATGGTCCAACCTATGGCTCTTTTGTGAGCTTTTAATACCTCTATCAACCTTAATTCTTGCTCATTACTTAATTTCGAAGAAATAATTACGGGTAATTTTTCTTCCTCCATAAGATAAACATACTTAAAGTGACTAGGTAGTGGTTTTAACTCCAAATCAGGGGCTTTCTCTATGGATGGTGGTTGCACAATTCTATCCTTAAAGTCAAGTTGCTCAAATGCCGCTAAATCTTCCAAATCTTCCAAGTCTTCCAGCTCATCATTTTCTTCCAATATGTCCTCAAGATTTTCCCAAAATGTTATTTTTGTAGGGAACGTCAATCAAACTTATTTCTAGATCTTCACCTAAAGCATATATGACTGAACAATCGTCTACCTCTCCATAAAACTTAAGGGAATTAAACACATTAAATTTCACTTCCGGATCACTAACTCTCATGGTCAACTCCCCCTTTTGAACATCAATTAAGGTTCTCCCGGTTGCAAGAAAAGGCCGTCCTAAGATGATGGAGACATTCTTGTCAGCTTCATACTCCAAAACTAGAAAATCGGCCTGAAAAATAAATTTATCGACTTGGACCAAAATATCCTCTATTTTATCTTTAGGATACGCAATGGACCTATCGGCCAATTGTAAAGTCACGGTTGTTGGACGGACTTCACCTATTCCTAGGTTGTTAAAAACTGATAATGACATAAGATTAATGTTTGCCCCCAAATCACATAGGGCATGGCATACTTCTTTTCCTCCTATCGAACATGGGATGATAAAACTTCCCGGGTCTTTTAACTTGGGAGGAATTTTACAAGTAAGGAGCGCACTGCATTCTTTGGTCAAAGCAACCGTTTCAAAATCAATCAACCTTCTCTTTTTATGCAAAATATCTTTTAAAAATTTAAAATAGCTAGGCATTTGCTCGAGAGCTTCTACCAAAGGTATGTTAATGTGAAGTTGTTTAAAGATGTCCAAAAACTTCTTAAACTGCTCGTCCACATTGTTGCTTTTCATTCTTTCTAGAAAAGGTAAGTTCTGCAAATCTGGAGCTGGTTGAACAGATCTGGTTGGTTGGACAATGGGCACAATCTTCCCACTGTCGAGTTTTTTAACAGAGAGCTACACATTACTGGAAGTTGAAACAGGGACTGTTTTCTAGACAGAAACAGATTTTTGAGTTTCTTTCGTGGAAGGACTCAAAATTAGAAAATTTGACACATCAAAAGCATGTGAAACCTCATTTTGATGTGTCGGTTCTTCGACGGTTTCACTTATATCATCATTGACTTTTGAACTCTCCTCACTCAACACGATCACGACTTTGATATGTTCTTTACCCTTAGGGGTTTCCGTGTCACTAGGCAAAGTTCCTAAAGGTCTACCCTTGAGATCGGCGGCAAATTGGCCGAGTTGGGTTTCGAAACTCCTTAACGTTGCATTGGTTTGGTTTATAAAACCTTTAAGTAATGATTCGAGTGAACCATTACCGTCCGATGCATTTTGCCTAGGCATGCGTAAGTGTGAGGATTGTCCATTTTGGTAATTGTGCGAAGCATCTTGCCCATATCCCGGGGGATTTTGTGGCCGATTTTGGACTTGAGTAACCCCAGGGGTTGAAGTCCAGGATTTTCAGTCCAAGAAAAATTGGGGTGAGTCCTCCAATTTGAATTATATGTGGGAGAAAATGGGCTATTTCTAGCATGACTCCCAACATAATTCACCGAGACGGGATTTCCGGGGCAATATTCATAAGAATGGCCCTCACCGCAAAATACACAAGATTCAGTCATAGGTGGGTTGGACATTATGGATTGAACTTGATTATTCTCTCCATTTAAACGTAAATTGTTTTTAACCAAATTAGTTAAAGCTACAAATTGAGCATTTAAAGCAGAGATGGCATCAGTTTCATGGATGCCTGAAGCAGATTTAGAAACAACAACATGAGGATTTGACCATTCGGTATTATTATTTGAAATTCGTTCCAAAATGTCATGTCCTTTGTTGTAAGACTTAGCTGTGAACGCTCCACCGGCCGTTGCGTCAAGAATAATTTTAGCGGAACTGGAGAGACCATTATAAAATGTCTACAATTGAATGCGATGAGGGATTCCGTGATGAGGACATTTCCATAGAAGGTCCTTAAATCTCTCCCATGCATCCGAAACCGCTTCCATCTTCTTCTTGTCGAAACGTCATAATTTCATTTCTAATTTTTACGTTCCTCTTCGGAGGAAAGTATTTTTTTCAAAAATTTCTCCGCCAAATCATTCCAAGTTAGAATCGAGTTTGGTGGTTGAGAATTTAGCCATGCTCTAGCTCTATCTTTCAATGTGTAAAGGAAAAGCGTCAAGCGTAAGGCTTCTTGTGTAACTCCGGGAATTTGAAAATGATCCGTCATTTCGATAAAAAATTTTAAATGAGAGTGCGAATCTTCCGACGATAATCCCCCAAACTGACCCATTGCGGAAACCATTTGGAACATTATCGGTTTTGGTTCAAAAGCTGTCGCTGTCATTTCGGGCCTACCTATTCCCACGGCCAATTGACTGAATTCGGGAGTTGCGTAATCCCGTATGCCTTTATTTTTATCATCGGCAATATTAACCGTGGCCTCCCGTAGAGGTGGATTATCCCCCATGGTACGGTTACGATTATTTCTACCTCTTCTACGTCTTCTAATGGTTCTTTCTAATTCAAGATCAGGAGGTAAAAGTTCACCGAATTGTAGCCTTGGCATACAACACGGGAAGTACGAGTGAAACAAAAGAACAAGGCTCAAATGAAAAATGAATATCTCAGGATAAAAATCACGTTACCTTCCCCGACAGCAGCGCTAAAAACTTGGCAGGCTAGGATCGTTCGTGTTCTCCTAATGGGTAGAATGTCCCCACAGTGGCGGTGCAAGTGCACGCCGACACTATGATCACTTGCAAGTAATAAAGTGGTACAAAGTACCGAGATCATTCCCACAGAGAAGATACTACTGAGATTCAGAGATTTTTCATGAACTTCTTGCACGAGTTTCGAGATGTAAAATAAAGTTGGATTTTTGTTTATATAAAGATCGAAATAAGACCGACTAGCTAAATAACGAAATAAACTTCTAATATTAAATGATGGGCATGGATGCAAGTGTTTGCTTAAGATAAAATTAACAATAAAATTGTTAGACTTTTACGAGTTGTTTATAAAAGCTCCAATCTCTTGAAAGTGAACTTTTATAACCGGGTCTCATAAAATTCCATAAGGTTTTTACGTTTACCACTTCGAAACTTGCCCATCTAGCTAAAAAGTAAAAGGGATGCGATTCTTACCCAAATCTCTTTGTGATAAAAATACCAATTGCTTAACTCCTAACTAGATGCATACAAAATTCGCGTCTCCACGTAATTATTCAAAGACCCTCTCGTGTTCATTGTGCATCACTTAAGCCGTATTTCGGATCCGCCCATCTCTGGGTGTAAGATCTAATATTAACACTTCAAAGTGATCAGCTTATCCGCATTTTAAGTGCCGTCTTAAGTGACCATGTTACGAAGTGATAAAAGATAAAAACACCCAAATATTATATAAACATCCTAAGTTAAACTCACACCCACATCCATACAAGTAATTTAGCTAGACATAATAAAAGTATTGTAAAACATTAAATAATACTGAAATATAAATTGCATTAATGTAAAACTAAATTACAAGTACAAGGAAGTAAAATACTAGAAATTAAAAACATAAATTAAAGACATAAATTAAAAGCATTAATTAAAAACATAATAATAAAAGAAAGAGAGAAGAGAGACACACTAGAGAATATTGTGTCTTAGATGGTGTGTGTTCAAAATGGCTCCCCAAGCCTCTTTATATAGGGGAGAGGAAGGGGAGCAAGTACACCCAATCATTACCTTAAGGGTAATTAGTACAAGCCTAAAAAAATACAAATAAAAATAAAATAGAAGAAAGAAGACAGCTCATATACAGCTGGAGAAAATATTTGGATGAATCTTCAAGCTGCACGTTTCCCAAGAAGCTGTAACAAGGCTCGCAGACTTCCCACAGTGGTGCCACAGTGGGCAGTACTGTCAGAAAAATACAGGTTTTTGGAATAATATATCTTCCTTTGTGTTTCATCATCCTTTTAAAACTTTTTGGAATAAAAGAGTACAAACAAGAAAAATTGGGTATTTAATAATAGCAAAAAGGGAGGAAATAAAAAGGAAATAACTCTTAAAAATAAGAGTTATTAGTTTGGCTTGACCACTTTTTCTAAAATATTTTTTATCTCACGATTTGAAAGTTCCACAAGACCATTGGTTTGCGGGTGGTAAGTCGTGGCTACTTTATGTTGGATCTTCTAAAGCATCTACCTCTTCTGAGCCATCTTCTGTTACTCGGGTATGTACCCTGAATGAACCTTCTTCTAGTCTTTCTGCACTGGATACGCTGACGGTTGACCTTTACAATGCCCTCAATGGCAAATCTAAAGCTAAAATCCTTAACGTTGATCTTCATGAGCAATTAAAGATTTGTCATTCTAAGATCAAAGAACTGACCTCTGTTGAGGAAAATCTTAAGGATCAGGTTATTGTATACCAGGCCATCATTATTGAACGTGAGAAAGTTGTCGCTGAGCGTGAGCGAGCAATCGCTGAACTCAAGGCTGAGAAAGCTACCATTGAAGGATGGTGTAAAGCTTCTCTCAAGGCMTCTGAGATCATTAACGCTCAGATCCCTGCCAAGAAAACGACTGATCTAGGATTCTCCTATGATCAGGAAGAATGTGTTAAAGACAAGTCCATGCTTAAATTTGGTACTTTTGTATCTTCTATTCCCAACACTTCTTCTTCTCACTCCTCTTCTTTTACTGAGAGTCATCTTGAAGGAACTCCGTTGAGTTCTGGGTGCAAAGACAAAGGTAAATCCACTGTCATAGCATCCCTTCCCAAGAAGTCTAACAAGGCAAATAGATCTAAATCTATTCCTTCAACTTGTAAAACTTCTTCCTCTTCAGGGACTAGGAAATCTGAATCGCATCAGAAATCTAAGTCACAGCTCAGGGTGAACTTTTCACCTAAGAAATCCATTCCCTCAAAGGTTCCTCCTAGAACCAATTAGAAGGGAATCCTTGGAGCTTGTCCCGCTTCTATCCGATAGTTCCTGGCCCTAAAGCTACTTTTAGTTTTAGGAAGTGTAAACACTGTGGTGAAAAAACACATGTTGCCAGTAAGTGTCCTTTTATCGTCAAAGCTGGTTCACTAGCTTTGAGCAAGAAAGTAACCAAAGTTGAGAAATCAACTAAAGTGAAATCATCCACAAAAACTGCCTCTGCAGTCAAGGTGAAGAAAACCACTGAAGCCTCTTCGTGAGGCTCAGTGAAGACAACTCCAGCTGAAGTACCTTCAGCTTCAGATGTTGTAATCTCAAACACTGAAGTCCCTTCATCAGACTCAGTGAAGACTTCCACTAAAACTACCTTGGTAGTATCAAGGGTTGTTCCTCTTTCCATTCAAACCTCCTCAGGTTTAATGATGCCATCTTCTGATAATGATTCTTCAGTATCARATGATGAAGCCTCTAACATAGCTGGACCCATAGCAGGGTACCAATAGCATTTCTTATTTTGTTTCCTTGATCAGGATGTCAAAGGCATATGGTATCTGGACAGCGGATGTTCAAGACATATGACTGGAGATATATCTCTTCTATCTCACTTCAAGGAAGAAAGAGGACCTTTCGTTACCTTCGGTGGAAATGGAAAAGGATATACCAAAGGTTTTGGTATATTATCCAACGGTACAACAAACTTCAAACGCGTTGCATACATTGAAGGACTGAAGCACAATCTTCTTAGCATCAGCCAACTGTGTGATAAAGATTATACAGTTAAATTCCTCAAGAATTCTTGTCATGTTCTCAACAAAGATGATAAGGTTGCTCTAACCGGTTCACGTCTAGAGAATGTTTATATCATCAACATGAATTCTCCTCTCACCGAGAATAGTTGTTTTCTTTCTAAAGCCTCTTCAGATATTAACTGGTTATGGCACAAACGACTATCTCATCTCAACTTCAAGACACTCAGTGAGCTGTCAAGAAATGATCTAGTCACTGGTCTTCCTCAATACTCGTTCGCAAAGGAATCTCTTTGCTCAGCCTGTGAGAAAGGAAAACATACGAGAGCTAGTTTCAAGTCGAAACAAATCTCA